CTTCCCCCAGCGCTGGCTCCCTCCCCCTCCTCCCTCTCCTCCCCCGCCCCCTGTGCTCCGCCATCCGCCCCTTGCTCCTCCCCCGCCCCCATAACTATTGCGCCGGCTGCAGTGTGCGTCCCCAACGCGTCCCCGTCAGCAGCGCGCCGAGCCATTCCCACGCCCCTCCCTCTCCCCCTCCTCCCCCGCACCCCGCCCAGAGATCCCCTTGGCCGCCCCACCCGCCCATGAGCGGGAAAGGAGCGCGGGGCGGAGAGGAAGGGGGGATGGTGCTGATCATGGGCTGGATGGTGGGATGGGGGAAGCGGAGGGGGGAGAGAGTCGGGGGCGGAGAGGTCGGCGCGGGGATGGTGTTGGGGGGTTGCACTACTCTGCCCCACTGCGAGCTCGTGGTGCGAAATCTCCGTCAGGAGAAAATCCAGAAACTCTTGACGCGCGTGCACACCTGTCCTCGTCTCATTGGCTGCCGGAGCAAGCACTCCGTTAACAGCCCCACGGGGATTCGATTGACTCGAGCGGCCGTCCCGCCCACTCTTCGCGTCATCCAGCCCGAACCCTAGTTCCGCCTTCACGCCTCTCCCTATCCGCCCTTCCCCTCGTGCCTGCCCTCTGGCCAATAGCGACCTGCCACGTGGCTGCCCAGTTCCTATCACTCCCACCTCCCCGCTCCGCCAGAGAAGAGGCGGCGACGGCAGGGGGGGCTCGTCCGCGCCGCCTTCCTCCGCCAACCCTAATCCTTCCCCCAATGGCCATTCCGCCATGTCCGCCTCCCCCGCAGCCCCCAGCGCCCCGGGCGGCAGGGGCAGGGCGAGCGCGTCGGGCGCATGGCGGAGCATCCACGCCTGGAGCTCCTCCAGCTCGCGCTCCGATATGGGCACGGCGTCAAGAAAGTCAACGGAGTCAACGGAGTCAACGGGGTCAACCGGGTCCACCCTGCACAGCCTGTACACAACCTGCTCGCCGTCGCCCTCGCCCCATTCGCCCTCCAACGCAACCACGTGCGTGCCATCCTGCACGTGTCTGCTCGCCTCAGCAATTTCCCCCTGCTGATTCTGACCACCTGTGCTCGACAGCCCCTGCTCCTGCTTCACTCTCCCCTCCTCTTCCATTTCTTCCTGCACCTGCTTCTGCCTACTGTTATCTCCCGCCTCCTCCCGCTCCTCCCCTTCCTTCCCCTCTTCCCCTTCCCCCACCACCCACTCCTGCTCCTCCTCCTTTATTTCCATGCTCCTCGCTTCCCCACCGTCACCGCAACCACTCTCCGCTAAATTCACCCCCTCTAACATCACGTCCCCTGCTACAGCCGGCGCCATCTCCCCAAACCAATCCTCGCGCTGCCTCAAACCTTCGCCCGCGGGCTCCTGGCCTCGCTGCTCCCGCGGCTGCCTAAGCACCGCCGCGCACCCCTCTCCGCCGCTCCCCACCGCTCTCTCTTCAGACAACCTCGCGCCTCGGTCTCTTGACATCTTCTTCCTGATTGGCTGGCGCTGGTGCTGATTCTGCAGCGTCTGCGGCGGCAGGAGCGGTTGCTGATTGGCTCCAGACGCTACCGGAAGGGCCATTTCCATGACGCGTGGCCTGTCCCCGTCGCTGCACCGCTGACATCAGCACACATGCCCTGACCCTGACATCACTGCCTCGCCTCAGCTTCTTTCTCCCTGAAGTCACAGAGCTATGCTACGCCAAGGTGAGCGGCTGGCTACTGGGAAGCGGTAAGTACGAAAGCGTGAGATGACAACCACGGGGTCGAGAGCCTGTTTGACCAGCTAGTCTGGATGTCGCAGCGACGCGTGGCGGCGGCTGGCGAGGAAATTGAAAGGGGCAAGTGCAACACGCGTGTGGCAGGAACGGGAAAGACCAACGATTGCGGAAAGCTGACCGAGCTGACGACCCGCGTATGGCGGTTGACGAGAAACAGACTATTGGGACGAGGATTACGCGGTCGGAGGGAAGGCAAGGCACAGTCGACGGCTAGTTAGGGTTAGGTGGAATCTTGAGAAGCCGATAACAAACGCAGAGAGTCATGCACAGCAGAAAATACCTAAGTGTCGAAATACCTCACGATATCGGAGTATATGACGTGTACCAGGGATAACGGAGACGCAATCTGCGCGGATGACGGCAAGCAGGAACCTAGTAGGTACAGCAGGAAGGCTAGATGGTCGTGCTTGCTTCGTCCCGTCAGCAAGGTGCACTTACTCGAGTCGACGTCGAAGCGTAAGTTGCGAGCTCGAGCGTGCACGCCTGGGTAATCCTAAGCTGGAACAAGGACGCTTTCTAAGACTAGGTCGAATTTCAGAGCAACGACAATAAACAGTGCCACGTTGCGACCCGAAAGTTGCCAGTCTGAAATATTGGCGATGATACGAATGAAGCATTGTCTCGTAGCGCACGAGGAGCATTTACAAGGCCTAAATTATTTCGAGAACTCCTTTCCCTGGTTCAGCGACCTTGTGTTGTGCGTTGTTGGCGTGGCCAATGACTGGCTCAGCGCGGCTTGCGCCTGAGAGCTTACCACACGCTACCTATTTGTCTCGGCGTGGCGGGAAGCAGAAATGGGAACTCGAGAGAAGGGAGAGTGCCCTGATGCCTCGGGATTGCCGCAGTCCCGTCAGCGGCACCAAATCGCCTCGCTCCCTCCACACTCGAAAAGTGGAGCCCAGGGAGACACTCTCCCGTCACTTGGGCTTGGGCCAGCGGAGGCCGACGCAAGTCCAGCAGCATCCTTGTCTGACTTTGTTGCGAATCGCATGCAGCGGGGCAGCTGCTTGGGTCAGGTTTGGTCAGTTCAAACTTCGAACCCAAAAACAGCGAGGAAGAAACAGGTGCAGTTTCATACGTGCTGCCCGAATGCTTGCGCAATTTTTGGGGGAGTTTAGCTTCGGAAACACCAACCTCCTAGTTGTCACATTACGTGGCTGCATAAGACTGGTGATTGCCTTTATGCCAAATCCGAAACAGCGGCGGGATTCCACGTCGACTTTGCCGAAGCTGAGTACATTGCAGCAAATCCACTGCCAGCTCCGGCTTCAGGCGACAAAACTACTCTGGCTCAAATCATGACCACAGGAAAACCTTTCCGGCGGTACCTCAAAACTTGGGGAAAATCTTATCGATTAGCTCCAGGTTCTGGTCAACACCCATTCGAGTTCACAACCTGTCCATAGTGGGTCCTATATTAGAAAAGTAGGGGTTTGTTTCGGATGCACAGATTTGTTCAGGCATTCCACAACTGAAAAACAATAACCATCGCATATCACCGAACCTCGCACTCATCAGCTTTGGCCCCATAGCCACGTTACAGATGATTGTGGGGACGAATCAAGGGTCGGCAAGGTCCAGTGCGTGACTGGGGTGAGGTCTCTGAACCAAAAGCAGCTCACGAACTCCATCTTGTACCCCTTTCGGGGTCCTCTCAACAGCTTGCGTTCAGGAGCTGGACGTACGGTACACTGCATTTCTAAGCCATTGAGAAATGAGTCTACTTTACACCGGTATAAGAAACACAGGCACCAACACCAGGTTAAGCACCAAGAAACTGTTCACAGCCACGTCATTTCATCACTTAGTGATTGTGAAGTAATGATCCCAAAATTGGAATAATCTACTATTTACAATCGTCACAAATGCCTAAGAAAAAAACACAAAACTCTTCTATGGTAGCAAAATGATGTCACCTGCAATGAACGCCACACCAATAAATTCATCGTCAAAGGAGCCAGAGGTATAAAAAGGCACAGGAAGAGGGGAACAGGCGGGGCAAGTGATCCGATGATACTTCACCTGTATGAATCAAGTTTGCATCTTGAATGTTGTTGATCTGCATAATCGCATCCACTGTTGTTCCATGCATACGCGCTATGGCATACAGAGTGTCACCCTGCACGTGCACAGTTCCATATTCACAGCCGTAGGGTCACCATGTAATGTGAGAGACAGTTTCTGACACCATAGCTGAACTACGGCTGTGAACATCAAAGCCAAGGTATGCAGAATACAGTGTGTGAAAAGCACATACCACTTGCATTGCTCATGCGCGTGCAGAGCAAACCTTTTCAAGGGTGTATGTGCGCGGAACACACCTTTGCGATGGTGTATGTGCGTGGAACCCAGAGGCTCTGGCCGGGGTGCAAGAGGTCTGAGCGGAGTGCATTGGCCTGCCAGCACTCCATGGGAGCAATAACGGTGAGCACACTCATGGGAGCACACTCATGGGAGCAATACATCTGACAAAAAAAAACAAGCATCGGACATGGTGAAGTGGCAAAAAGCAGAGATTCCGCGTTGCAAGCACTCCGTCTTCTCTACACCAATGGACCAGCACGTCGTCACCTGCATGAGGATTTCCACAGTGCTTCCCAGCTGGCCGGCAATCTTTGTCAGGTTGTCGCCAGGCTGCACGTCGTAGTAGGACCTCCCCCCCTCATGGCGTAGAGGCAGGGCTGTGGCGGATCAATGGAAGGTGCGTGCGGAAGGTAAAAGTGCAGTGAGGAGCGGTGGGATGACTGGCAAGGGGAGGATCCTGGAACCAACTGTGGTTACTAGGAGCGCTTGCAAGACAACGCCAAAGGTGGTATGGACGCTGGTAAGGGAAGGGGAGAATAAGGAGGGGAGGGAAATGACAGCAGCAAATGACGACGGAGTCGCTCGTGAGGCATGATGATGGTATTCCCGAGGTTGATACCCCTGACTGTATATATGGCTCGCGTTTTCGCACCTCTCCTCTCCTTCCCACACCCCTCCCTCCGCCCACCTTGCAGCCTCTCGGGATTGCCGAACGGCCACATGTCGCTGCGCAGCTGCTGCTCCCCGCCCCTCGACTCTCTCCTACGCCTTACTAAGACCAATACACTAGGAGCCTCTGCTGTTATTGATTGACCTTGTGAACTTGATGCTAGGACGGCGAACGGGCTGAGCCTCCAACAGAGGAGGTGAAACAAGGTGTGAAGCGACACGGTGTGCGGTGAAGCGGAAGCCACAGGAATAATTGACTGGACTGATTACGCAGACGAGACCGACGCGACGGATGCGACAGATGCTAAGATGCATCGGGCGGAAAAGAGTCTCTATGCATCAGTGGAGGCCACAGTCAATCTCGCCTGGCGTGCTCGACGGCTGCTAAAACGCGACCAGCAACTTATGTCCCTCTGGTGCTGGAACGGAGAAATAGATAAATGCTGCGGACATGGAAGGGGTGGAGTAGCTCGGTTTGGGAGTAAATTCATGTGTTTCGGAGTGGTGTGAAGTGGCGAGACGCTGGCGAGACCCCTTGTCCAAACCAAACCGTGCTACATTCAAGGAAATCATATTTAATTCCAAATATTGTCAAGCATTCCCAGCTACATTCAAAAACTTTGACCACCAACATGATGTTATAGATTGCATGCAGGAAGTTCAGTGCACCTAATCCACCTTTATCCCTATTTCTTTCATAAACAACCTTCTGTTATGAAAAGTCTTGGTCAAACCATCTCCTTGTTCTCCCACTTCCCTGCTCAGCCCTTCAGCAGCATCCAACCTATACAGCACACATTCAGCATCGTCCCACCCTTCAAACCGCTGCATGCTTTCACACCCGGGTAGCAGTCGAGCCAACAAATTCCTCCCATTCGATTCGTCCTCGTTCCCAATTCCAGCCTCCACATGCCCGCGTTCCACCCCCAACATCAAACCACCTCCTGATTCCAAGCCTATCTCACCTCGGCTTCTTGACGAGCGATGCCCTCCATGCCTCCTTCCCAAGCTTCCTCCCGCATCGACCCCCCTCAGTTCACTCTCTAGAAATTCCACAACGTCACTCCCAATGCTGGTGATAAACAACCCCTCCAAGCTACAAGGCCAGAGCACACTGGAGCGAAGCACCGACAGAGATACAGGGGGGCAGTCCACAGCGTGGAAACAACGCAGGCTGTGCCAAGCACTCAGGTCCACCGAATCCCCAACGTTCCTCCAGTCAAGGGCCTTGACAGTCTCAAGCGCACCCGCCGGGAGGAATGACGCCTGCTCTGCATCCATGTCGGTGCGGAGGGAGTGAAGCGAGGTGAGGTGAGGCGCGTGAAACGCCCAGGGACAGGTCGGGTCGGTGCTAAGGAAGAGAGATGTCAGGTGCCCGGGGCAGGTGGGGAGCAGGAGCAGGCGGGAATCGCGGGACTGCCATTCAAAACCGAGGTCGGAGAGACGAGGTGCGGAAAGCGAGATAGAGCAGTTGAGCCCGTTGAGTCTGACGTCAGTGGCTGCCGGGAGGTCAAGTGAGAAGGACGTTCGTCCGTCCACGTCCCTCTCTCGCGCGTTCTCGCCGCTTACAGCGCCCTCTTCGACCTCCTGTGCCGCGAACTGATCGTCAGCCGCGAGATGAAGAGAGTGAAGCTGTGAGGAGAGGCAGGCGACGAAGCGGAGGACGAGAGGAGAGCACGCGGAGAGGGAGAGACTGAGGCGGCGCAACACGGGAAACAGCCTGGCTGTGTCATCCGGGTTCTTCTCCTCCATGATTGAAACCATTTCCCACATTTCCGCCACCATCACGGGATCATTGCACTGGTGAATTGGAGCCGCGCTCTCGCTGTCCGCCACATCGCAATGCTGAATAAAAAGCGACTCGAGGCGCGGCGCTTGCGAGAGGGAGAAGAGGAGGCGCGGATGGGAGGGGAGGCTTCGGGGAAAGTAGAGATCGAGAGAGGTGATGGAGGAGATGGAAGGGAACAGGCAGGAGCGCATGAAGGAGGAAACGAGGCGGGGAGGCGCTTCAACGAGAGAGAAGTTGAACTGCGAAGGGCTTTGGTGCTGCTTGGTCAGCCATGCGAAGCTGCGGATTCGCTGAGCGAGGGAGACGGCGGAGGGGGGACACTGACAATCTTCTTCGAAGTAAAGAGGTTCGTTGCTCGCCGATAGTGCGCGTCGCACGCACGGCAAGGCGATGGCGCACGGCACGAGCGGCCACGAGCAGTAGCACTCTTCTCTCTCCGCCGCTGCATTTGCGATGCGCACCCACACGTCGGCGGGTACGGCGCTCAGGTCCGCGGAACTAATCTCCGCCACGGGCGGAGGGGTGATGAAGGACGGCTCCTCCTCCACTCGTTCCTCCTCCTCCCCTTGCTCAGCCTCCACTCCCACCCCTCCTACTTCCTCCTCCTCCTGCTCACATAACCTATTTTTCCTCGACGCCATCCTGCTAATGCTCTTCTCTAGCGATCGGTATCCTCGCCACCAGCCGCGTCACAGCAACAATGCGTCTCGCCAATAGCTACAACGGCTAATATGGGGTCAAATAGTTGTTCCTTTCTGAGCTGGAAAGGATCCCCGTCAGATACGTGCGACGAATGCTTGAAGCGAAAGGAGCGACGGATAAGTGTGCCAATCCGCTGAGGCAGATTGAGTGCGACTCCCTGCGACTCTGAATGTGCGATTGGCAATTGCCCTACACTGCTCACAGCAGGCAACAGTGGTTCGAAGTGTTCATCAACATGTTACCGGTACAAAAGCATTGTTTCCATTAAAGTTACGGTATGTGTAGGTGCTCTGCTCTCTCAACCTACCGTTTGTGCTCCATAAAACATCACAAGCACAAATGCTGAAACAGTAGCATTCTCATTTACAGTATATATTTCATTTACAGCACGCTCAAACAGGACAAAACAAAGTTGCATTCAGTGGTCTAGCGCACCTAATCCACGATTCCTCTTTCTTTTAAAAACCTACTTTTGCTCCAACACAGGCCTGCACTTCCACCCACTTCCCTACTCAACCCTTCAACAGCATCCAGCCTGTACAGCACAGCTCACCATCGTCCCACCCCTCAAACCGCTGCAAGGCCTTGCATTTAGGTAGCAGTCGAGCCAATAGATTCCTACCTTCACCCTGAACCATATCCCTTCTTCTGTCGTCCTCAGGCCTGCCTTCCCCTGCCGACCTCGAACAACCTCTTGTTCCCATGCCTATCCCATCCCGGCTTCTCGACGTGCCCTCCCCTGCATACCTCCTTGCCAAACTTTCACCCCCACTATTCTTTCTCAGCTCATTCGTAAAAATTTCCACGACATCACTCTCAATGCTATCGAAAAAAAATCCCTCCACGCCACACGGCCAGAGCACACCCGAGCGGAGCAGTAACAGAGGCGCAGGGTCCGGCAACACGGCATGGAAGCAACGCAGGCCGTGCCAAGCACGCAGGTCCAACGGGAAAACCACAAGTTCCCTCCACTCAAGGGCCTTTACTGTCGCCAGTACACCGGGAGGGAAAGAAGCAGCCTGCTCTGGCTGCATGTTGGTGCAGAGGGATTCAAGCGAGGTGAGGTGAGGCGCGTGCAGCGGCCACTGGGAGGGCCGGTCGCTGCGAAGGAAGAGGGATGTCAGGTGCGCGGGGCAGGTGGGGAGCAGGTGCAGGCGGGAGCGGCGGGACTTCCAGAGGAATCTGGAGAGTGGAGAGACGAGGGGCGGAGAGGGAAATGGAGCACTTGATCCCATGGAATCTGACATTAGTGGCTAGCGGGAGGTGAAGAGAGTACGAATCTCGTACATCCATGTCCCCCTCATGCCCCCTCCGCCCTTCCGCGTTGTCACCGCTTTCAGCACCCTCTCTGCCCTCCTGGGCCGCGAAATGATCTGCAGCGCCGAGTGAGAGATTTTGAAGCTGGGCAGAGAGGCAGGAGACGAAGCGCAGGACGAGAGGCGAGCAGGCGGGGAGGTCGAGATCGAGGCGGCGCAGCACGGGAAATGGCCTGTCCGTGTCACCCGGTTTCTTCTCCTCTATGACTGAAATAATCTCCCACATTTCGGCCACCAGCACTGCGTCGTTGCAATGGAGCCGTGGAATGTCGCGGTCGCTGTCCGAAGCAATGCCATGCGTAATGAGAAGCGACTCGAGACGCGGCGCTTGCGAGAGGGATAAGAGAAGGCGTGGATTAGAGTGGAGGCTTCGGGAGAGGTAGAGATCGAGGGAGGTGATGGAGGAGAGGGAGGGGAACAGGCAGGTGCGCAGGAGGGAGGAAAAAAGGCGAGGAGGCGCTTCAGTGAGAGTGTAAATAAATCGGGAGGGGCTTGGGTGCTGGTTGCACAGCCATGCGAAGCTGCGGATTCGTTGAGGTAGGGAGACGGCGGAGGGCGGGCACCGGCATTCTTCATAGAACACGAGAGACGTGTCGTAGCCTGATAGCGCGCGTCGCACGCACGGCATGGCGATGGCGCACGACACGAGCGGCCACGAGCAGCAGCACTCTCCTCTCTTCAACACCAAATTTACGATGCGCACCCACACGTCGGCGGGCACGGCGTTCAGGTCCGCGTAACGAGCCCCCGCCACGGGCTGCCTGTCGAGAACTCGGCGCGCCTCTACCGCGCGCACTCCGCTTTTCGATTCGTTTGCTCGCGGAGGGGTGACGAAGGACGGCTCATTCTGTACTCGTTCCCCCTCCTCCCCTTGCTCAGCCTCCACTTCAGCCTCCACTCCCACCCCTCCTACCTCCTCCTCCAGCTCACATAACCTAGTCCTCCTCCTCAACTTCATCCTGCTCTGTGCTTTTCTCCAGCAAGCGGTATCCTTGCCACCAGCCGCGTCACACCAGCGAGGTATATTCCCAGTAGTTACTATCGAGAGAAAAAAAAGGATCAACTTTCCCAGTTTCGGCTTCCAGTGCTGGAAAGAACCTCCGTCGCGTGCAACTGGCTGCTTGAAGCAGAAGGACAGATGTGCACGCAAAAAAAAATATCATCGTCACACTCGAAGTGTGCCCAATTCACGGATAATTTCGCGCCAAGGCGGAGTGTCAGGGTCAGATCCGATGGATGCCGAGCCGATGCCCTCTGGCTGACACGATTCCCGTGCGACGCTGTCAAAGGAATTGGAAAGCTTTTGTCGGGGACACAGGTCGTGATGCAGATATGCAGTGCATCAGGTAACAAGCTCGATTACGTCCATAGGGAAAATGTTGGAATGTGGCGATGAATTTGGTACCATTCGATTCGCCAAGGTGAGGTGTTGGGCACGAAAATGTCTAGCTGCGATGTTCACGAACTACTTTATCGCGCAGACTGATGTGCCCGTGCGATGGGTAAAGTTGTCCGAGAAACTGTACGCGTTTCACAGCCCAGTGATTTTGGTACAATGATTTTGAACATCAGTTTTGAAGATTTATGAGGTTCTGGAACATCAATAATTACAGTTACAACTGCCGTTGTATTGTACACTTTTAGTGCTACTTTCATTAATGATTCTACGTTTCACATGGTTTGAGGAACCTCTATATCTCAGTTCTCTTAATCCATTATCCCTCTAGCCTTCAAAAACTCTCTTCTATTGTGGAAAGTCTTTGTCGACACCCATTCTGCACTAAAACAATGTCAAGGCAGCCATGGCCATGGCGGAGAGCTTTAACTCAGTCAGTGTGCATCAATTTCCAGCCTGATCTTGACATTGAGACACTCGTACGACGCGCGGCTTTAAGCTCTACACAATGGTGTCTTTTTAGTGTTCATTACGGGAACCTAAACACCACTTATGCGAGTTCCAGGCTGTCGTCAGCGTTCCATGCAACTTCAATGCTACCTATTGCACATGGCTATTATCAAGATCTCAAGCTTCCAGAGTTTATCATCGAGCTTGGCGCTCGGCAATGTCAACATCTCGCGCATTTTTCAAGGATGCCATTTCCTATGTTTTCAGCACAACTCGAGGCCTCTTAACCAACTTGGCCGTTTGGCGTTCCCTAAGGTTATGGCATCCCATCCCTGGCCTGGACCTGCAGCGTTTCAGTTTCAAACATAAAAAGTATAAACAAACGGACTCATCGTCAGTTGTGCTCAGTCAGGCTTGTCTCTCAGCCTTCAACGGGCTGTCAAGCTTTTCTCATCCTCGCACCATGGGGAGAGCTCGCAGCAACAAGACTAGCAAGAAGACAACAGTCATGACAAAGTAGCCGATATGTCACCCACCCCTACGGTAACCTGAGAAGGATGCTGCTGACAAAGAGGGCGTGCGCCATTCCACCCTCCTCGTCGCCAGTGTGTGCTTGCCCTTCGAGGACTTATTGGACCTACAGAACAAGGACTGACCTCAATATGGCGAACAAGCTGCTGATGGTGTCGCTGATCCTGCTGACAAGGAAGGTGAAGAAGAGGGCCGCTGAAGGAGAGGCTGATGCTGTGATGCGGACGCGCAGGAGGACGATGGTGCCTCGTCAGATCAGGCTCCAGACGATGACGAGGATGGTTACCTGAGTGACGACTCCGACGAGCACCTGGAACCAGCTTCGCTCGGCAGCATTATCGCTTTGAAAAGATTCTCACTGACCTTGCTGGTGCCGTTTAACAGGAAGCTTGAAGTCAAGCGGACTGCTGTAACTGTGGCTGCCTTGCTGGAAGAATGGAAGGATCAGCTGTCGCCAGATGCGTTGCAGACAACAACTTACCAGGAACTTACAGCGACCTATTTCTCTGGCACACGCTATGGTCGTCTTCAAGTTACCTTCAACCACGTCCGCGATGCAAATTTCGTTTGGAGTCAAGTCATCAGACACGAGTGCGTGAATGGCGACATTGTCGACTTTACCTGGCAGCACCCTGAAGATGCGCGTTTCCTTCGTGAGCGCCTGCTGAACCCGACGGCGAAGGAGGTTGTTGTCAAAGGAGTTCCTGCGGACATTACTGCTGAGCTGATTCGTCACCTGCTGGTGGTGTCGAAGCTGGTTAAGCGCGGTCGGAGTGCTTTCGCCAGCGGTTTCGGCTTTCATCGTACCGTCGATCCGGTGACTGGGCTGGACACCGACCGTATCCGCGGTCTGTTTGTCCCCCACGCTGACGATGAGTACCGCTGGAGGTACTTTGTGGAGGACCCGTCGACTGGCAGGCGCTACATGCTGCACTACCCATCGCTTACCTGCGAGCTATGCAGCGGCCAGCACCTGTCCCGCTACCACGATCATTATGTTACCTCGAGGCAGGAGAACTTCACCAACTGGAACCTGTCGGTCAAAAAGGTTCATGACATGAACGGTATAAGCAGAAAGATCCCCCACCCTCAGCTGTCTAATTCGTTACCTTCGTTGTCCACCCCGCTCCTATCATGCCTCTCGAATCGTACTGACGACTGTCTCTTCACCTCCTCCCGCAGCGGCTTCCCTGAAAGCCACAGCGTCTCTGACGCGCATCTTGAAAGACCCCGCAGTCATACTCAC